CACACAGTCCGAGTTCCACTGAAAAAAAACGGATTTGACACAACAAACAGTAGATTCATTTCATGCGTTTGGCTGCAGCTACGAAGCATGACGATTTACATCACTGCTCTCTTCGAACATGTCAGTGATACAGACATGGGAATATCGGATTGAAGACTCGCTTGAAAACATCTTGCAGGTGAACCCACAGCAGAATATATCTTCTCGCTCCCAATCCTGCCAGTGCCACTGGAACAGGCAGAATCAATTTTATTCTAAAAAGGATTGCCCTTTGAGCACGCCTGCAAAAAATCTAAAGAGATGTCAAGTAGGTGACTCTAGAGTCTAGAGGCTTTCTCCAAATCTGCTTGACACAAATCCCGCCACAGCCACACAAGTTTGCATCATGCCTTCTCCCCGAAAGCAGGGAGCGCAGGCATGCTTTTCTGGTCGACGAAGCAGTGACCTCCCGTCCTGTGCTACGCCGCTACGCAAAACTGAGATTTGATATGACTCCTTTGACTCCGAGTTCTCTGACAACTTGGCTGGAAGAAAAGTGCAAAGAGTCCTTGCATGCTTAACATCAGAGTGACACCGCTCAGGACTAAAATTCGCCAGGAACCATTCGCGAGTTGGAGCCTTACAGGCCATTGCTAGTAGGCTGGAGGCCATTACTAGTAACAAGTAGCTACTAGGGTGGAGGCCATCGCTAGTAGGTTAGAGTTAGAGGCCATACTAGTACGCTAGACCATGCGTAGGTGGAAGGTCAAATGGATTGTAATTGGCAACAAGACTCTACAAGCAGGCGAGGCACATGCAGTTCCGATGAACAACACTCCCGTAAATTCATCTCTCCCAGAATATTCTGCAAGGCATGAGTTGGAGCTCCAGTGCACGAGCACGCCGTACTGACAACCTGCTCTCATGCTCGCGCCAAAAACATGTCGTGGTGCGAGCTGGGTGATGAAACATTATGAAACATTGTCAAAGCAATCACAAATCACAAGCCACAAGTAACCAGCGGATGTCGCAAAGGCGTGCGGAAACGTTCTGGATCGATACCGGCGCTTCCGAAGTTCCGTTCGCACCACTGAAAAGCCTTCCTCGGGGCGGGGTCAAAACATGCCAAGATCAAGTCGAGCCATGTCCAGTTCCTTGCGCCGCACAAAAACAAACACGTGAATCTTTGTGCAGACCCGCTGCGGACACCCGATCCCAAAGCCGCCATTGGGCTCTTGAAGACCTTGAAACAGTCTTTGGGGTGACCGCGACCTGACCAACAGGAATTGGAACGCGAGTCCAAGGAAAGCTCTACATTCTGCGCCGATTGTTAGGACAGAAGGAAAAACGCTGAAACAAACTGTTTGTGCTAGCCCGCCTACTCACACTGGAAGCTTCTCCAGTATAAAAACGGCGATTGAACGGCATTGCCAAGCGCCCGTCGCCCGCAACGAAAGTTTCCGCTCAAACTCCCAGGCCAAACAGCTTTTAAGGAGCGCCAAGCAACAGCTGCTCTCCCTACGCCTTTAGAGAATCACAGCATTGTGATTGCTTTTCACTGTCAAGTGGCAACCTCTTCAATGTGAAATCCGGGCAAGGCTTTGCAACGCAATGCAATGATGAAATGAAACCACGGAGATGCTAGTTCGATTGCACCAAAGTGTAGATCGAAACAAATCCTTTTGTTAATGAACACATGTAAATCGACAGCCCCGAATGTTTTAGGACACCTTTCCCTTCTTCCCTTCTTCCCAACGGTCCCTCCTCATGAGAAGATTTAATGTCTTTAATTTATACAATTATCTTTTTGCCAGGGGGTCGCGCCATTGTTTTTTGACCTTAAAATGCTTTTGCCAAGGGGTTGCGCCATGGTTTTTGGGCCTTCACAATGCTGTTGCCGGGGGGTCGCGCCATGGTTTTTGGGCCTTCTAAATGCTTTTGCCGGGGGGTTGCGCCATAGTGTTCAGGCCTTCAACATGTCTTTGCCGGGTGTGTGTGCCATGGGTTTGGGGCCTTCAACATTCCTTTGCCGGGGGGGTGCGCCAGGAGTTTGAACTATCATCAAAGCCTTGCCGGGGGGTCGCGCCATGCATTTTATCTCTAAAACCACGTCGCCGGGGGGTCGTGCCAGGGCTTTTGGTGGTTTACCATCAAAACTGCTCAAAGCAATGTTAACTTTACGGCGCCAACATCAACGTATAAGGTTATGATGTACGCTAAAGCTAGTTCTGATGACTCAGCGAAACATAAAAATTGCAAAAACAAATGCAAAACCAATCCCGAAAAAGATGCACAGAAAACGCAAAAACAAGTCACCAAAGGATGCCTTGGAATGCACAAAACAAACAAACTGCGAAAACAAATAAACCATTTGTCCACTAAACACATGCAAAAAATGCACAAAACATGCAACAAAAATGCACCAAAAAGGCACAAACGATGCAACAAACATCAACAAAAATGTAAAACAAATGCAATCAAAAAGCAAAACGAATGCGATCAAACACGTTCTGGTCTTTGTCTTTGTTTTGCTTTGTATTTGCGTTTTGTTTGCGATGTTTTTTTCATTTTTGTGCGTTTCCTTGAGAAACCGAAAAAACTCCCAAAAAATAGCACAAAACACACGCAAAAATAAAAAACAAAAACACATCGCAAAAAAACGCACAAACATCGAAAAACATGCACAAAAAAGGTGGTGTGTGAAATTTGGTTGTGCATGTGCATTTTTTGTGCGTTTTGTTCGTTTTTGTTTTGCGTTTTTTAACTGTTGTTTTGCTTTTTGGTTTCCTTTTGCATTTTTTGCTTTTTGATATGCACTCTTTTTGACCAGCTGCCTTATTTGTGTTCTTTTTAATGCATTTCTTTTGCATTTCCTGGTCATCATATGTGAGTTTTTTTTCTTTTTTTAAATGAATCCTTGAGATTTCAGAGTTAGGCTGTAAGGTACATCATAAGTATAAGGCGTTGATGAACTCTTTTTGGTAGCATTGGAAAGTGCTTCAACTTGACGCAGGTTAAGAAGCACGGACGCCCGCAAGGTCAATCAGACCCTGCCCATGGCGGCAACTGGCCGGTGGTCTGTGTGACGGAGACACGTATTGAAACTTTCTTTTGAGAAATCTTGATAAATCTTTGGAAGCAACAGAGGTATTTGAGATGGGTCTGTTGCTCAGGAGACATCTTTTTGAGCAAGTGCTGGTGATGAGGTTTGCTGGCTACCCTCTGAATCCTCTGTTGCCGTCCTTCTTGGAGCAAGGTCTTCTCGATTTGCCACCATGGATGCTGCAGGTGAATCTGAATTGATGCGGCCAACATATAGGGTGTTTCCGCTCGATGCCATCGTTGAAGCTCGGTTGTGGTCCAGCCCCACTCTCGAAGGTAGGTGATGGCAGCTGCCATGGGTCCACGTACATGGTACCAAGGATATGGCTGCCCTTGCAGGTGGGCTTGCAATTGTTGCCGCCCCTTTGCTTGGCCGCTTGGCCTTGTGGAACCGCTGCTTGATGACAGGGAGACGACGCCGTCGGGCAAGTCTCTCATCACCAAGGCCACAGGAGGATCTTCAGGTCCCAAGAGCTCCTGAAGTGCTCAATCAGTGGCCTTGTCAGTGGCCGCGAAAGCGGTTTTCTTTGGGCTGACCTTGAGACCAAGTCCACAACGTAGGTCCCTGTAGGCCGCAACCGTGTCCAGTGCCACTTGTTTGGGATTGGTGGCTGTTTTTTACCATTGTCCGCAATGTTTGCATCTGATGCCCTCTCTCAACTTGTCCGTCCAGATCCGATTAGAGCATTTGTCCCCCGCAAACAGTGTACGCTCTGTCGCCTTGGATGTTGTCCTCGATGCGGGAAGCCTCAACAAGGTCTTCAGGATCAGATCACAGGTCAGGGTCTGGTCTGGGTGAATGGGAATGATGAAGCCCCAGTCGAGTTCACGGTGTCCCGGGAGTTGACACAAAGTGCAGGTGGTCTTGAACCCTTCGATCGCGGGCAAAGCAAAGTCCTGACCCTGGGAGATGTCAGTGGCGGCGCCAACCAGGTGGGACACAGTGCCCACGTGATGAAGGGCAGGAAGCGTGCGAGCTGGACTTTATGGGGCTGCCAGCTTGGTTTAGTCGTGGCTTGAGCCGTGCGTGTGTAGGTAGGTATGCAGGTATGTACGTAGGTAAGTAGGTATGTCGGCAGGTAGGTAGGCAGGCAGGTAGGGAAGTAGGTAAGTAGGTAGGGGTAGGTAGGCAGGTAGGCAGGTAAGCAGGTAGGCAGGTAGGTATGTAGGTATGTAGGTATGTAGTTATGTAGGTGGGTAGGTAGGTAGGTAGGGAGGGATGGATGGATGTATGTAGGTATGCGTGTATGTGTGTATGCGTGTGTATGTGTGTATGTACGCTTGCGTGCGCAACTGATCACAGATCAGAACTCCTGCTGAGATTAAATGGTTTTGACTCAAAGGCTCTACGCCGAGAAATAGGACAGGAACACAGGCACGAGGTGAAAGACACTCGCGACATGGAGACAAACGCTGACGGTCTGCGTGCGCCTAGCCCGGCCTCACAACAAAATGCCAAACCTCTGCGAAACTTTCGCGAAGAAATAAACATTTATATAACGACTAGCATTTTGGCGGGTGTTGTTCGGATCGTATTCGTTGGATCGGATTTTTGGCTGCTTAGAGGCTTAGAGAAACCTCACCAAGCCATTGCGTCATGTTGCTTATATTTGCAAACCATTTGCCAATCACCCCACACTTGGAGGTTGACAAATGGCCAAAGAAAGAGCCTTTGGGCTTTGTTTTGATTCAATGCAACTTTAGCAAGTGGGAAACGCAAACCCGACTCAGCGCAGACTGAGCTATAGGAACGTGCAACCTAATAAATTTACATGCATGTATCTGGAGTCGGCATTGACCTGGCTAAGTTTGAAGCCAGGGCGCAGCACCATGATCAAGACCCAGTATATATCTGGTGTTCTTTTGCAAATCCAAGAGCGGGGAACAAACGCGCATGTCTGCATACCTCTTGCCCCCGCCTGCGCCCCGGGATTGGACCGATTTTGCGCGCCTCGGCCTCAAAACCAAGCAAGAAACGCGGACACTGACGGAACCGAGCTGGAGACGTGGGTGTGGGGCCGCCTGCCATCATCTGCGCTGCCTGGTAGCGAGTCGAGTTGAGGGGTTTCACTTGGTAGTCTTGTGGTCTTTACTTTTGGCGATTGTGCGTTACGCCCAAAAATATTTAAAACACCCTGCTTCTGACAACAGGACCAATCAGGAAATACTTTCATTCTCAAGTGGTTGAATGTTTTTTGTTTCGCTGTTACACTTACTGCAACACCTCGCCCCCAACAATCATAGGCTTGCCATTGCGCAAGTCGCAAGGCATGTTGCATTGGAGGTGCCTCACTTCTAGTCATGACTTTTTCCATCACGAGGCGTCAACCGCACCACTTCCGAGCCGAAAACGTCTCGCAATCGATCTTTACACAGGCCGACGCGCAATTTCACAGTAAAAGTGTGGGTTGCGGCCCGCGTCACCACATTTGCACCAGCGTGCTTTCCACCAACGGTACAGACTCACGGAGATGCACTTGCCACCAAGGCCGCGCAAAACCGCATGGCAAAGCGACATCACAGACGTCGTTTGGCCACAAGGTATGCAACACACTAAACACAACAATGTACCATTAAGCGCCGCGCCGCAAATCATCCCGCTCCCTCGCGACATACCGAATGTACACCAGCATGTCATCTCCTACTTCCCTCACTGGCGCGGACTTGCGGAAACGCACTTTCCACCGAGGCCGCGCAAAACCGAATGGCGCAGGGGCATCAGTGACATCATTTGGCCACACGGCGCACAACAGACTAGATACGACAAGTAGCATTAAGCGTCGCGAATTTACGCCAGCGTGCGTTCCTTCCCCCAGTCGCGCAGCCTTGCAGAAACGCACTTTCCACCGAGGCCGTGCAAAACCGAATGGCGCAGGGACATCAGCGTTTGGCCACACGGCGCGCAACCGACTAGATACGACAAGTAGCATTAAGCATCGCGCGCGACACGCCGAATTTACGCCAGCGTGTTCTTTCCCCCAGTCGCACAGCCTTGCAGAAACGCACTTTCCACCGAGGCCGGGCAAAACCGCGTCAGCGACGCTGCAATTACAAACGTCATTCGCCCGCACGGTCGGCGAAACAGACTAAGTGTAACCGTATAAAATCCAGTGTCGCCCGCGCCGCCAATCACCCCGCTCCCCCACGATGCGCCGAATCTAGACTAGCGTGCCTTCCTCCTTCCCCCATGGCGCGGCCTTGCAGGAACGCATTTTCCAGCGAGGCAGCGCAAAACCGCGTGGCGCAGCGACATCGCTGACATCATGTGGCTGCCCAGCGCGCGACAGACTATAGATACAACAACGCGGCAGAACGAAGCGCGGACGCCCCCAATCATCCCGCTCCCCCGCGACGCGCCGAATTTACACCAGCGTGTTTTCCTTCCGCCAGTGGCATGGGCTCGCGGAAGCACGCTTTCAACCGAGGCCGCGCAAAACCGAATGGCACAGCGGCGTCGACGTCATGTGGCCACACGGCGCGCCGCGTTTAAATTATAGACACAACAATGTAACACCAAGCGTCGCGCACGCAGCCAATCATCCTGCTCCCAGCAACACGCCACCTGTACACCCGGGTCCTTCCCTGAATGGCGCGCGCTCACGCAAACGCACCAAGCTGCTTGCCATGTGCGCTGCAAAGTTGCCAATTCTGAGGCCACACCCAGTTCCGAGACCAGCTCCGAGGAGCCTTTCCACGCTAGATTTGCGCTACCTAGTGGCCAGTTCTGAGGCCACAGCCCCCAGAAGCCGCTTCCGACATTACGTGTGCGCTACAAAGTTTCCATTTCTACTACAGTTGCCATTCTCGACGACACTTACTTTAGCAACTTCCACCTTAGTTTTCGACGACAGTAACACACCTTGGCAACTTCCACCTTGATTTTCAACGGCGCTGTTACACACTTGGCAACATCCCTTTTCGTTTTCGATGACAGTTGTAGACACACTTACTTTACCTTGATTTTTGACAACGGCTACACATCGTGGCAATTTAGGCCACCTTCGTTTTCGACCACAGTTACACATTTGGCAACTCCCACCATCATTTTCGACAACTTTACACAATTTGGCACTTTGGCAACATCCACCTTCGCTTCGACGACAGTTATGCGCTTTGGCAACATCCTCCTCACTTTGGCAACGTCGACCTCCGTTGTTGACGACAGTTACGCGCTTGTGGGCAACGTCCATCTTGGTTTTTGAGGACAGCTCACACACTTTGGCAACAACCCTCGCTTTTGAAGACAGTTACACACTTTGGCAATGTCCACTTTCGTTTTCGACGACAGCTTGTTGTAGTAGTAGTAGTGGTGGTGGTGGTAGTAGTAGTAGTACTAGTAGTAGTACTAGTAGTAGTAATGGTAGTGGTAGTAGTAGTAGTAGCAGTAGTAGTAGTAGCAGGAGTAGTAGTAGTAGTAGTAGTAGTAGTTGTTGTTGTTGTTGTTGTCGTAGTCTGGTACTAGTACTAGTACTTGTAGCGCTTGCAGAAGAAGTAGTAGTAGTCGTCGTCGTCATCGTCGTCGTCCTCGTCAGGAGTCTATAAGATCTTTTGGAGTTTCGCAAGGAGCAAAAGTCAACTGGTTGAGAAGGGTGGGGCAAATGGACATGAACCAAACACACATCATATAGAGCTTGCAATGGGAACTCGAATCATGAGCCGCGCGTTGAAAGTGAGCGTTGTGGTTTAGACTTCGGTTTCCTTTCATGTGGGTATGGTTGCCGATATCATTGTTACTAGCGTGGCTTTATCATTTGGTGTTTACGCCTTCATTTTTGGTTCATTTCAGCCATGGTTCTTCATTCTCAGCATTTTGCATTACAGCAGTTGGTTTTGTGTTAGTTTGTGAAATGAAAGCAAATGAAGAGATCAGGTATAGATGGAAAAACACACGAACAAATACTGAAAGAACACATCGGGGCATCGGTTGACAAACAACGCCACTACAGCGCAAACTGGCGAGCAAGCTGGACACTAGTTTGGGTCGTTGGTCGCCGCTCAAACTGCCCTGGGCACCAAACCAAACGCTCGTGGCTTCACTTCAAATTACAAATATAGCCTCTGAGCACGGACTTGTTCGAGCATGGGTAGAAGTTCAGTTGAGAAACTTCCGTAGTTGCGAATGTGTAGCGAATAAAAAAATAAATATATAAATATAAATATGTATATATGTGTGCACATACATACATACATGCATGCGTGCGTGCATGCATACATCAGGCAACAGTTCGCGCACACCGCGAGCTACGTTCAATGAAGAGTCAGCGTAGAGAGGTCAGTGGCTATAGCGCAGCGCTAGCTAAGTCCCCGAGCTAGCGTAAACAGTCGCCAAGTAAAGAGCTAGCCAGGCGTAGGCAATAGCTAAGTGAAGAAGGGAAGTTCAAGAGGTAGCGTGGACAGTAGCTAGGTGAAGAACTGCCAAAGTGTATTACTGTCGTCGAAAATCAAAGTGGAAGCCACAACACATTGTCGTCGGAAATCAATCTGGCTTTTGCTACAGTGTGCAACTGCAACTGCCATCGAAAATCAAGGTGCGCACGGCTAAGTTAAAATGAATGCGCGCGCCAACGGTTGTGAAAGCTAGCTATGTTTCGGCACGGTGCACCGATGTTTCGGCGCGGTTTCGCAGCGCGCTGCATGGCTGGGCATAGCTTTGGTTGCAAACTGGAAGTTTCCAAAGCGTGTAACTATCGTCAAAGATCAAGGTGGAGGTTGCCAAAATGGGCACCTGGCGTCGAAAATCAAAGTGGAAGCTGCTATAGCGTCCAACTGCCGAAAATCAAGGCGGAAGTTGCCAAATGGTGTAACTGTCGTCGACATCAAAGTGGAAGTTGCCCAAGTGTCTAACAGTCGTCGAAAATCAAAGTGGAAGTTGCCAATGTGTGTAACTGTCATCGAATATCGGATACGGGTACAATTATGCACTACGGGAAACTGTGGTTCTGGGCGCTCAGAACTCACAACTTTGCAGGGCAAACCTAGTGTGAGAAGCAGCTTCAGCTCTGGGCTCAGAACTGGGAATTTTGTGGACTGTGAGAAGCAGCTTCTTGAACTTTGGGCAACCTCCGCGCTCAGACTGGCAACTTCGGGGCGCGCAGCTTCTGGGAGCTCTGAACTCTGGGCTCAGAACCGGCAATGTTGTCATAAGAAGAAGCAGCTTCTGGGAGCTGTGGGATCAGGACTGGCAAGTTTGAGCTATGTAGCTTCCCCCTATGCGCGCAAAGACATTTTCCACCAAGGCAATTTCTGCTGTGTGGTGTCACATGGCTGCAGCTAGTGTAAAACACAGCGCGGCAAAATTACGTTCATGCTGTCACTGTGACATGCGGATTGGCGCGGCCTTGGTGGAAAGAAAGTGGGGTTCCGTGGCCCCGTGCCATTGGGGGAAGGGAAGCATGTGTGCGCTTTAAGTGCAGCGTGTCGCTGGTGAGTGGGATGATTGGCGGCGTCAACAATCCTTGATGTCACGTGATTACCTCTAGGGCTTGGTTGACCACACATGCACAAAGGCCAAAGGCAAAAAACAAACTGAACTTCGTCTTCCTACAGTTTTTTGTTGTTTGAAACCTCCACCCTTAGCTTGTCAAAATCACTCGTATAAACCAAAGCAGTTCCAATCAAGCCAGAGCTTCAGAAGGAAATTCAGGAGGCGGTTTCACCCAGGTAGTTTGCCGCGTGACAGCATGGTAGTAGTAGACCTGCCAAGGCTGATCAAATTGTTTCACGACATCGCCGCGTGTTTCTGATCTCTCGCCTGCCCCTCTTTCGTGCGAGCTTCTTTCCACGGGCTGTCCTGCAGGTTGCCAAGAAATGCACCCACCTTAATCCGCATGGTAATCAATAGTCCTGATCGTTGGTGCTCCGCACTTTTCCAAAAAGACCTTCACCAAGAGCCTCAAGACTCAAAATGCTTGACTACGTGCCACGCCACGTGTTTGTCACAATTGTGTTTCCAGGCCGCGTCAATCAAGGCGTTGCCACCAAGAAAAGGCTTGCCATCTAAACGATCTCGCGAGGCCTGACACCGTGATCTTTGCAAATTTTAAGACAACTCCTGCTTATTGCGCTGATGAACTTTTCCATTCGGCAACTGCCACTGTCGCTCGTACAAGCACCTAATCATCCGTCTTGACTCCGGATTGACGCTTTTTAGGCGAACATCGGTCGCGCACCTTCAGCAACTAAATGCGTTGACTTGTGTGCTCCCTTCATCCCAAAGAGCGGCAACTCCATGAAGGACAACAACATTCCAGGTCGTTGCTGCGGTTTGAAAAAATTGTTCAAATCTCTTTGGTGGTCTACCCTGTGCATCAACCAAACTGTAGACACAAGCTACATAGGAAATGAGATGTTGTCCATCAACCAGAAACTAGGAAAGCGTCAGTCAAGTTTGCAAATAGTATGAGAGGACCAAAGTGGTTGCCGCTGAACTGCAAAACCGATCAATACCAACGCTTCAATTACCTGGGAATTTGTGGGGTGCAAAAGTTTCCGCCAGCACCGTGCTGAGGACGCCAGAACTCGACACGGCCGTGTTGGCCGCGTGGCAAAAACAATGCAAAATGGCATTGTCACGAGACCCAACTTCAAGGAGGAAACTGGCAGCCAGAACACCTAAGCTTTGCCAAGGATTCATGGATCAAATAATTGCAAGTTCTGGCGCTCCATCCCACCTGACGCATGCAGCCGCAGCCGTGATGCCGGCGCTGACGGCATCCTTTTGTGTATTTAGGAAAACTGATAACTATAACAACTACTACTTCTTGCGCGACTAAAAGTTTCTTCATCAGAGAGCGACCTCTGCTGCAGCAACACTTCTCCTGGATGTCCTTCCTGGTTACATCGTCCGTAAGATGTCCCTCGGCTTTTTTGCATGTTGCAAAGCAATGACTGTTGCCAATGACCCGCAACACAAAACTCGGGCAAACCACGCAAGCTTAACTCAGGAAACAATTGGAACGCATGTAAATATTGAAGGTTACGAACGATGAAGCGTGCTCTCACCCCCGCACTCTTAGTAAGTTCATGTCCATCACGAACTGTTCCCAGACAGGAGAACATCAGTTGGAAGTTTGAGCACTGTTGGAGCACAAATATCTGTACTGCTACTGATACTGATAGTGACACTGATACTGATACTGATACTACTACTACTACTGCTACTACTGCTACTACTACTACCACTACCACTACTTCCACTTCCACTTCCACTTCCACCTCCACTTCTACTTCTACTACTACTACTACTACTACTCCTACTGCGACTGCGACTGCGACTGCGACTGCCACTACGACTACGACTACGACTACGACGCCGACGACGACGACGACGACTACTACTACGTCGACGACGACGACGACTACTACTAACTACTAACTACTAAAAATAAAAGGACCGGATAACCCCACATGATAAGTTTTACAAATTTCAGTTGTATATGAACATCACATGGGAGACGGAGTAGTGAGATGAAAAGTCAAGAACGAAGTGTTAGGAGAGAAGGTATATGAGGCGGTTGTGCTAAGACGTGTAGTATAAGTGATGATGTGATGGACGAGGATGAGAAGGAGGGGAGGGAGGAGGTGTGTGTGATGTGATGAACAAGGATGAGAGGGACGAGAGAGAGAGAGAGAGAAGGAGGCGGAGAGAGAAGTTTGGAGGCTCTGGATTTTGCGATCAGATCCGCATGAGACCTTCAAAACGTAACACGCTCGAAACGACCATCAAAGCTATCAAGTGGTCTTATCCCGACCACGGCGGGCAGTGCTAGCAGGAGTGAGTGAGTGGAGTGAGTGAGTGGAGTGAGTGAGTGAGTGAGTGAGTGAGTGAGTGGAGTGAGTGGAGTGAGTGGAGTGAGTGGAGTGAGTGGAGTGAGTGGAGTGAGTGAGGTGAGTGAGGTGAGTGAGTGAGTGAGTGAGTGAGTGAGTACAATGGCAGTAGCGCACACGACTGCAGGCGGGCCCAGCGGCGACTCCGCGCGCCGCAGCCCCTTCTAGGGGCTCTGGAGAGAGCCGTTGCTATGCAAATCACAATGGCAGTAGCGCATACGACCGCAGGGGGGCCCAGCGGCGACTCCGCGCGCCGCAGCCCCTTCTAGAGGCTCTGGAAAGAGCCGTTGCTATGCAAATCACAATGGCAGTAGCGCACACGACCGCAGGGGGGCCCAGCGGCGACTCCGCGCGCCGCAGCCCCTTCTAGAGGCTCTGGAGAGAGCCGTTGCTATGCAAATCACAATGGCAGTAGCGCACGCGACCGCAGGGGGGCCCAGCGCCAACTCCGCGCGCCGCAGCCCCTTCTAGAGGCTCTGGAGAGAGCCGTTG